AAAAGGCTTGGGATGTGAAAAGGTTTGTTTCTGAATTTTTCTACACTGAAACCATCAGTAACTTCTGCGCTTGGGTGAATCCAAAACATTAATATTGGAGGAAATTAATTTTTTAACCTAGTGGATGAAATAATGAAAATACCTTGCTAAACAGAACTGCAGACTCTGAGGACAGGCTCTGTAAGAAGAGTTATTCATACTGACTTTCCATTAGTCAATTAATTTCCCTTGGTACATGCTGACTAATATGGTTTTTAGTCCTTAGCAGTAATACCAGCTTTGAGTTCAAAATAAAGGATGGCTTTAAGAAGTGCCCTGCTTTCCCCATTGAATATAATAATCCACTCAGGAAAATCTACTACTACTTAAGAGATACAAAATTGGGAAGGACAGGAATAGAATTAAAAACATTCTTTAGTATTTTGAGGGAAAGATCTACTTGGATTTACCAAAGATTTCTAGCAATTAAAGAAAAAAAATACAATGGGAAAATATTTAAAATTCTAATTTAGGACTTTTCCATTACAGACCAGTGACATTCAAGTCCTTTCATTCACACAATTGCACAATAATGATTTTTCTAAATTTAGGTATTTAAATGCACTGATTATCAAAACACAGAAAAAGAATTCTTACTTGCTTTTATAATATTCCTTAAACTTGGAAATTGTAACAACAAATTAAATGCCTCTTCAATCTGCCCTCCTTGATCAATGCTAGATTTTAAAAATGGAAGTAATTTTCCCTTTTCAAATGTACCATATGATTTCTCAGGCACAATGCATTTTCAAGAAGCAGTAGGAAGACTTGAAAAATAACCTTCCATCAACTATTTTAATCACACTTGTAAGTAGCTCAATATTTATTACTTGACAGACAGTGTAAGATAAGAGGATGTTCAATCGGTAGAAAATATCAATCAAGTAAAAACTTGTCACATATCACCTGAATAAAATTCATATTTGGATAAGTTTTTTATGTCATTTTCTTGAAACCCTCTTCCAGAATAGTGTATTCCTAATTTTGTGGTTGAGAAAAGAGAATTTTCTTTTTTCTTCATGCGCTGTTTGCCCTAGAAGCTCCATCAATAAAACCCCCAAAATCTGTGTGCTTTAGTGGACTACAATTTTTTTCCAGTTACTCTGGAAAAACTCCACACCAACAGACTTTTTTTGCAAACTTGGGTCTTTTACCAAAATACAGCCTTACAGGACATTGTGAACTGTCCCATCAGGCTGGATTAATGAGCATTATCTTTGGATAAATGCAATTCCAAGTTATTAAATCTAAGACAATGGATTGCTGGAATACTGTAAGAGCCACATTGGTGCATTTGTATCACAGAGGGAAAAATATCAAGAACAAAATCACTATTTAATGCTCTGCAATCACTGAAAAGTCAAACCAGAAATGAGAATTTAGGGAAAGTGAACCAACAATAACAGCATTACTGTTTATCTAAAAGGATAAGTGACTGTTTAGAAACAGATTAAGAAGGCAGCATGAGAAAAACTGCAAACCAGAATACAGAAAATATTAAATAGGGAGGATCATTTTAATGTTTCACCAGCCAGAAAAAAGGATAATATATGAAAGGTAAAGGCAAAATTAAACTTTCTGAAAAACAAAGAAACCAAGTAGAGTCAATTTGTGAACTCCCTGTCACAGTACAACATGCAAAGTATTTGGCAAAATACAAGAAAAAAAACAATAAAAAAAAATATGCATTATTCATATACTTCATATAAAAACCAGAATTAGTCTGGGCTGAAAAGAATTTGCCCCTGTCAAAAATCAGTACCACCAATTGTTTTATTTCTTCTTCACTGGAGTAACTAGTACTGGAGATTGACACAGACAAGGTAAATTATGTCACTACCAAAAATACACTTCCTCATGACAAAGCAGGTAAAGACAAAGCTATTTTTTTGTGTCCAGACAAAACTTTGATTAAATGTGATTTTGAACTTACGCATCCACCCAATTAATTTAGTTAGGGGCTTAACTACAACCTGGGAAGCAGAGGAACTATTAGAGTAGCACTAGAGTGGTTCAGGGTAAAAAAAATTGGGGAATTTACTACATCTTCAGGACAGCAGTGTGAATTCTCTGCTGAAAAGAATTTGCCCCTGTCAAAAATCAGTACACCAATTCCTTTATCTCTTCTTCACTGGAGCAACTAGTACTGGAGATTGACAGAGACAAGGTAAATTATGTCACTACCAAAAATATACTTGTTCATTGCAAAGCAGGTAAAGACAAAGCTATTTTTTTGTATCTGCCATCCAGACAAAACTTTGAATGTGATTTTGAACAAAATCACTTAAATGTGATTTTGAACTTACACGTCCTTCACGAGAATTACGCGTGCGAAGAATTTACATGGAGGCCACCCAGTTAATTTAGTTAGGGGCTTAACTACAACTTGGGAAGCAGAGGAACTATTAGAGTAGCACTAGAGTGGTTCAGGGAAAAAAAAATTGGGGAATTTACTACATCTTCAGGAAAGCAGTGTGAATTCTCTGTGTGTTCAGTGCACTGACTCGACGATTCGACAGATAAAGCACGTGCTAGAGCTGGCTGATGGAATTAAACATAGATACACTTGGAAATAAAGGAAAAAGCTCCCTGTGCTGGGAGAAGGGACGTTTTCCTGCGTGTGTGAGTGCAGCAGAGAGGAGAGGAGCCGCTCAGAGGGAAGGGGAGCAGCTGCTGTGAGCACCAGGCTGCCGCGCACATGTTGGGCGGCGCTGGGCAGCATCCCCAATTATCGGTGCCAGCGAGGCTGCACACACGCTCCCAGGGGCTGCTGGCAGGCTGCTCGGAGAGGCCAGCACTGTGCTCACTCTGCAGGGCTCTGGGAACTCACTCCTGTGGGCTACCAGGGACCCTCAGCAGCTCTGCTCCTCCCCATGACAGCTCTGTCCACAGCACGCTGCGTAAAGGGTGCGCCAACTCCCATGGTTTCAAAAAAAAAAAAAAAAAAATTTTAATGCCTGTTGGGATTTTAGCTGACTGGAGATTGGAAAAGTACAAGGTTGTGGCTAATTTTGAGTCTTGCACTTGCAAGATAGCGTGTCTTTGGACTTAGCTGTAGTGTGATAATAAATGGTGAAGGAGACATGAGAAAAGAGAGATGTAACTTTTAAGGAATGGGGAAGAGCTGATGTTGTGGTGTGGCTAATGGACAGTGTAAATTACAGAATATTCATGAGCTTACTACTTGCTGCATAAGTGTCTGATGCTCTCTTCAATAAATGGAACTTGCTGATGACTCAGATTGAGCCCCGAGTTTTCCCTGCACCCAACAAATGGGTCATCCCCAACAAATGGCTCATTCTGCAACAAATGCCCTTGCTTGTTTAAAACATCAAGGCAAAGATTCTGCACATTCATTTTTTTTTAATTCAGGATTTTCCAGCACTTACTGCTAAAATTAAAAACTCAGTTATTTAAAAAATGAGGTATAATTTTAATTCTAACTCCCTGGAATTTATATATTTTCTTTTTTCTTCATGCACTGTTCGCCCTAGAAGTTTCATCAATATAATCAACTTCTCGAGTAAGTTTGAAGCAACCTTTAGTTTCTATCTTAGAGACACTTCTGTACTTCTCTAAAACACAAACATTCTTTTTATAGGCATGGTACATAAAGAAGACCACGATGGAAATATATCCCAATTATGGAGAGACAATTCCAGTGTGTAAAAAGCAGGGTCATAGCTTTTACATTCACAAATTCTATTTCTTGCATTAAATTTAACTGCCTCTCTTTCTGAAGGGAGATTGCCAGCTAATATTTAAAAATAATAAGTAAGGAGGTAGAAGTATGTACTGCAAGAGAAATATTCACACACTTTTGACTACAATGGTAAAACTAGAAAATCTACCTTCTTTATTTTTGAAGCATTAATTGCATTGGTATTTAAATAAATAACATTTGCAGGTATTCAAAGACCTTTTACAAATGCAGTATGTGTGAGTCATGTACCTACCTAAGCCAGGATTTCATCTATTGATAAACTCACCTAGCATGAAAATATTTTGCATAATATGAGGTTTTATCCAGTACTTTTTTACTAGGATCAAATCAAATACACAAAATTATAGGCTCTCTGTTCATTGTGAATAATAACATTTTTGCTTTTGTAAGTTACACTCACAGAACAAAAGACTATCTACATTTTTCTTTTTGCTAAAAAAGTTTACTTTCAGAAGATATATTGAAGTCTCTGTATACTATCAGGAACAATGCTGTTAATTGCTTCTGATTTTGCAGTTGGGAAAATAACTCATGCCATAACTGGTTTGCTCCTAGTCCCAGTATAAGAGGATATTAGAATTATGGAGCAAATCTACACCCTTAAAAACAAGATCAGATATCACTATAATGAGCACTTTATCTAAAGACAGAGAACTGAAAAGCCTTGTATTGATACTCCAAAAAGCATTTTGAAAGTATTTTTGAAAGTACATAAACATGCTATAAAAATGATTGAAAAAGAGATCACTAGAGATATTTACTTTTTTACAGTTTCTGAAATTTTGAAAATTTTTTAAAAAAGGAATAAGACCAATATTTGGCATAACTGTTCCTAAAATTCATAATTGGGCAAGATTTTTGTGTCATTTTCTTGAAACCCTCCTCCAGAATAATGTGCTCCTATTTTTGTGCTTGAGAAAAGAGAATTTTCTTTTTTCTTCATGCACTGTTTACCCTGGAAGTTCCATCAATAAAACCCCCAAAACCTGTGTGCTTTAGTGGACTACTAACTAAAATAATTTTATACATAGATCTTTGTAGATTTTGCAGCAGGACTCTCCCATAAAAGTGCAAAGTGTAAGATATAGCCATGTTTTAAGTTCACACTTTGAACAAAAAGGCTTTAAAAAATCTCCAGAACTGTATTTTTTTTTTTTTTTTTTTTGTTTAATACAGGTTTTAAAGTTTAGCTAAGTGCTGTGGGAGCTCTGGGAGGCAGCAGAAGCAGCATTCCTACCCGGATGAGGTGGGCAGGCACGGTGACGATGCAGGCAGACAGGGATTTCCTGAGCAGGGCACGCAGGACATACAGGAATTTGGTCAGGCTCTGAGGATCCTCGGGAGCATCACTGCAACAAACACCATCACCCCACAGGATGGAACCCAGGCTCTGAATTCCTATCCTCAAAACGTTCCTTTGTTTTTTCTGTTCGGGGAAAAAAAAATATAAAAAAATATAAAAAGTTGTTATTTTCTAAACGCTAGGAGGAATACAATTTCTAGAGTGCATGTCCATAATAATGGTGTGTTTTATGTTATCACAGTAATCTCTGTCAATCTTATAAAAACTGCAAATGGAATGGGATTTTTTTTCACTGCTTAGATACCATGGATAATCTAATAGACACATGGAAATACTGAGAACTACTAATTTGCATTTTTTAACCAGCTAAACATAAGTATATTCTGAAATAAAATCTAGTAACACTAGGGCACTTTTACATCCTTTCTACCCTCCATCACTGTCTTAAAAATCATGTAGAAGAGTATTTGCTCCCAGTTCTAAGGCAGCTTTGCTGGAGCAACCAAACACAACTTCTCCCTCTATTTTCACCTTTCTGCTGTGTCACTTCCATAACCTGACTGTTCCATGCTCTGCTTCAGTTCCACTTTTTCTGAGAGAAACAAGGCCAGTGCTTTGCTCACCAACACAGGGGCCTGGCACTGCCCGAGAAGTCTCCAAGTACCATTTATGTCCCTTTCAACTTCTTCCCATCAAATTGTAGCCACAGCTGTGGAAACACAGAGTGTGATGGGGACAGATTGTCCCTTAAGGAGCCCTTAAAGGACAGATTGTCCCTTCTGCTCTGCTTTAGAGGCAGTGGCCAAGTTAAAGCTCCTTTTCTGAAGGGACAGATGATGAAGTCAAAGTTTTAACTTGTTTATGCCAAGTAAAATTTTATCTCTCATGAGGACAACTCTCATTTCTGCTTGTTTGATGCAACCCTTCCTGGTGGACTTTGAAAAGGATTTTAGTTATGTTTGCTATCAGTGGCTAAGAGAGAGACAAGGAACTCCCTCACTGAAAGACTTCCTGCACAAGGTGATCAAAGCAACATTTCTAGGGTTCATACTTGAAGACCAGCTTTCTTTAATTATACACACACACACACATACACACACATACATATATATATATATATAAAAGCTAGTTTTGATAAGTAAAAGCTTGCAAGTACTTCTCACTAGAGAAAAGTGTTTTGATAAACTGCACTGATGCCTCAGGTTCAGCTTTTCTATTTTTCACATTCTGTGCTGCTTTAGTGTGTGGGTCTGGGCTTCACATTCAGGGATGGTGAGCTCTGTGCACAGAGCAGGGAGACAAAACAATTCCTGCTCCAGCTGGGCACCAAGGACAAATGATCCCAATCTCAGCCCCAGAGCACAAACACCGTGGGCTGCAGAGAGAAAAACAAGCAGGGTGGGACTGCCTGGGCTAAAGCTGGAATGGGACAATGAACTGCAAGGTGCAAATGGAGCAGAACTGATCCCGGGGAGAGAGCCCGGGAGCGCTCGTGCATTTTGGGGCCATTTTGGTTCATCTTGGGTGCAGCCCTGGCTGGGCTCTGGTGCTGCCCAAGGTGGATCCATGGAGGAGATGCTTTGAATCAATCCCTGCTTTATTCTGTAGCTCTGCCCAGCCCCTGCTCTGGGGCAGCCTGCACAAGGCATCAGCAGATACTAATTTCCAACAGCTGGAATAAACAGCAACTCTCAAGCACAAACCTTGGCCCAGCTGCTCTGGAAATCCAGAGGAAAGGTTTGGACAAGACAAGAGGCTGTTCCAAAAGCTTCCTTACCCATGTTGGGTAGGACAGAGCCTGGCTGTGAGACACAGCCCCACATGGCTCTGCTTTTATCCACTTGTGTGTCACCCAGGGAGCTGATCTGCCAATTCACCCCCAGTCCCTGAAGAAGCAATCTGTGCTTCAACCTTGGCTTTAGTCTCAAGCTTTGCAGCTTTTAGGCTTTAGTTACAAAAAGTGAACTCTTTACACCACTGTACGAAGATCAGGATGTCAGTACAGGATAAGACAACACTTCTCTGTATGGTGTCCTCTCAGATCAGGCGTTCAGTTTTAAAAAGAACAGCAAAAAAGACAAGTTTTTGTCTAATATTCTTTAATTACTTCTGACCAGAGCAGATTCAGGCACTCCTTGATGCGCACTTAAGCAACAGGAAAAAAACCAATCAGGCATATAAAAAATAGTTTTAGCCGTATATGATGGACATTAACCAGGCAGAGAAAGCATTACAGTATTTCAAAATGTCAACACAAATGTAGATAAAACTTGCAGAAACTTTTTAAAAGAGAAAAAGATGTTTTGTTATGAGGAACAGCCATAAGAACAACATACAGAGGAAAGACCTGTTCTCTTAATGGAGAGAGGATGACAGATGCTTATTTCACAACATCAGATCATAAGAGTAGTAAAAGATAAAGCTATTCAGACACCTGATCATATCAGAGGTAATAGAACTTCTATCAGCATAATTTGTTATACAAAAAGATATGTACTAATATACATAATATATATAGTTTATTTCTATTTTAGTTTATTATTCCAAAACTGAAACGTAAGAAAAGTGTAAATCTGATATTGTCCCACAACCAGCCTGCTGTAAAGAGTAGAATAACATTTTTTAAAAAGCACCACTAGATCTTTAATATTCACATTAGCCTGGAAGTTTGGATTTATTTTGCAATTAAAAAAAATAAAAATAATGTAATTCTTGTAGCAGTGTTTGATTTGGCAGCAGAAATTCGGATTATGAAGAATTCAGAAAACCCAACTCCAAGACAACAACAAAATAAATCCCCCTCAACTATTACCCTGAAAGCCTCCAAAGTATACAAAATTAATGTTAGGAAATAGTTGCCTATTAAACCTCTGTTGTCAAACATGAAAACTCCAAAACTCTCTGAAACAAAGAGGTGCTATTCTATATAACTTAATACCATGATCCATTTGTAAAGGATTCCCACTTAAGGATCAATAAGTGGGAGGCTTTGGGAAGGCTGTAAACCTAAGGCTTGTATTTGTAGCTTCCAGATAATTCAAACTCTGATTTTCCAAATATTAGCTAATTATTAACTACTAACTAACTTTAACTGACTGTATTAGGTCCTAGAGATGCCTGAGCATTTTATGAAAGGCTACCAAGCCTCTAATGGTGGTTTTCACTTCTTTTCCCAATTGTGTCAAACCATCTCTCAGCTGGGATGAGTCACATGCCGCTCAGTTTTCTTCAAATAAAGGAGTAAATCAAAGTATCATTGGCAAATTGATGTGAAAGCAGCCAAAAACCATCTGAAAGTTTTTCCAGTCAAGCACGGGGTTATTTGAGGGTGGGAGTACATGCACAAACTTCTCAGAAGCTTTTATGATTATCTATGGCAACTATACACAGGTCCAGAAGGATACAGGCTGCTCCTTACTCTACAATCTTCACACCTGCCTGCTTAAAAAGCACTTTAGAGAGCTCAGTAAATGTAATGAAATGGCAAGGAATTTCTCAGAGATTTGGCAAGTAAAAGATCCAAGGTGTGTTCCAGGCCACTGCTACATTCAAGTCTGGAGACATTTTTAATGTGAGTGCATTATACAAGGCTTCTAAATGTACAAAATTTGACTGTACAAAGAAAAATTATGCAAGGGGAAAAGTGGAATATTAAAAGAAAATAATAGAAACCTCTCCAGGAAACTGCTTGCCTTACCTCCCTCGAAACAGAAAGAACTACATAGTGCTAATGGCTTTCTAGATCAATAAACTGGCCTGAAAACTGACTTTTAAAGTTTCACCTTTGAAATTTATATGTATTATTGAGCAAAAATACACTGTTAGATTCATCTCAGCTAAAGTTCAGATTTTGCTTAGCGACACTAGCAAGTCATTTTGAAACAACTGACAAAAACCAGAGAAAACAATGATCGGTGGTGTTGAATTTTTGCAAGCGAAAAAACCCACACGAGTGCTGCCTCTGACAAACCTCCATTTCCTTTTATATAAAAGGGTATGTATAAAGAAAGATGAGCAATGAGAGGCTGCTGTCCTGGGCAGGAGGCTGGCAGGGTGTGTGTGTCACCCAGGGCTCTGAGGCAGGAGGAGCATCCCCAAGGATGACACACATCCCCGTTGCCATGGCTACCGCGGGGAGAGGGGCCTGGCAGGGACCAATGGCCTTCTCCAGGCTGGCAGTGGCACCGAGGGGAGGGCAAAACCCTCGCAGACATCTCGGCTGAGCACGGGCACCGACATTTACGCACGAGGGCTGCGCGCAGGTAACGCTCCCAGAGCCCGCTGGCGCGCAGGAGAACAGCCCCTCCTGCATCACCTCCCTGCAAAAACCACTCCCAGGCTACTCCAGGCAGCTCTTGATGTGCACTTAAGCAACAGGGAAAAAAAAAAAAAAACCCTAATATTCCTAAGATATTGAATTTGAATGAAATAATTTCAGGCTCTCCAGAGTCTGTGCTAATTGGCATTTCTACTGCAGTGGCATTTCTACTGTACAGCAATAATCACCTTTCAATTGAGCATCAATCTGTACAATTTATTGTATTATTTCCATCAGCTCCAAAGGACTGCCACGTTACTGAACATGACAGGGAATAACTTACAGGGCACTGCTCAAATTAGAAAAGGTCTTCCAGCCTATGTTGTTACACTTAAAGAGTTTTTGATTCCCACATTTTATACTTTATTGTCACAGACATCTTTTGTGGAAAATCCTTTCTTTAGGATTTTTCCCCCTTCTGGGAAGCTGAGGCCCCAGAAAGGGGCCCCAGAAAGAGAATGTAAACAATGATTATCTGCTGCTGTGAAATGCAACAGGTGCACCTGTGATTGGCCCATGTTCCATGTTTACAATTAAGGGCCAATCAAAAGACCAGAGAGAATCAGAGAGAGCTCCTTTGTTGATTCATTCCTTTTTTCTATTCTTAGCTTAGCAGCTTCTGAACTTTTCTCTCTATTCCTTTTAGTACAGCCTTAATGTAACTTATATCATAAAATAATAAATCCAGCCTTCTGATCATGGAGTCAAGATTCTCGTCTCTCTCTTCACCCCTGAGGAACCCTTGCAAGCCTGGTAATACTTTATGAAGAGTACAGAGATTTTTGGAAGGCTGATAAGCTGATTTTTCAATTGAAATAGCATTCTTATTTCTTTACTTCTCTTTCAATGCTCACCACACAAAGATGCTACCATTTAATCAATTAAAAAATTCACACCAGTTAAAACAACAAAAAAACCCTGAAAGTTTAGGGGTAAATGTTTAACTTCAAGAATCTTGAGCAGATTATGCTAAAGCTATAATTTGAAAAACAAATATTGTAGGTGAAAATGTGTTTTGCTTCTTTCCATTGTATTTGGCCATCCATTTATTAACTAATTGCACAGCAAATGCATTTTACTAATGCTGCCTTACATTTCTTTCTCTGCATATCTGTAACAGGTAAAAATTAAAAAAAAAAAACCCTTAAAACATGAACAACACTATTTATTTTGCTTGTTTGCTTTACCAATGCTCACAAACAATTTGTTCTTTAATAATTTGTCCAAGACCTTGTGCAAGAACAGCAAGAAAAGAATAGCTACAGGAATAAAGAGGAGCGTGAGGGTGTTCATTACCTGGGGGTCAGAGCCATCAAAGCCCTCCTGGGAAATGATCCTCTGAATGGACTGAAGCAGCCTTGCATAACCACTGTTCATATTCCTGTTGGGAAGCAGAAATATTTCAGTCACACATTTCAATATTCTCCTATGTGTCTCTAACAGCTGTATAAAAATTAAATATGAACAGATGCAGCTCTCAGGGCAAGTGCCACATGGAAAAGAGGTGTCAGAGAAGAAAAAAAACCCCAAAAACTCTTTGAATAAAGCTGACATTATAAGCAGCTTCATATTAACTAGTTCAGTGCTCAGACATTTAGTGAAAGCTAAAATCTCTAGGGATTAAGATAACTTAATTATGTCAGGCTCACTTACATCTAGGAGATTAATGATTTAATGTATCAACTTAAAGTTGAAACCATTCCAGCCCAGTACTAATCTTCTGTAACTGACAGAGATCTACCCAGTTGTTATTCCAAGTATTCCTAATCAATGCCCTGATGAACAGAGTTGACTTTCTATGAAAATTTTCATGCATTTTCACAGCTTTATTTGCATGACAGCAAAATTGCGAGGTAGCATTTATTCTGTGTGTTGTTTAGAAAATATAACGTTCAGAACAATAAACAAAAGCAAACCAATAGCTAAAAATGGATTTAAGCAGACTTAACACAAAATGAAGGTTCAGGAAATCATCTTGTCAGACTTAGAAGCTCTTTACTTTCAAAGAACGATTCAGGTGCTCACTTTTAAAAGAAAAATATTTTTCTTAAACCTCACGGACCACACAGAGCTGAGTGTCTGGGCCTGATACATGTTCCTCATTGCAGCTTAAACCCTTCCATCTTTTCTATCTTTGACATTTTCTTCCAGTCTCATCAAGGGTTGAAGATGCAAACCTCTTGCTCTTGTACCTCTTTGGATATACAACAGGTTATTTTGAAAATTTTGCCTTTAAAAATATTCTTGTTTGCTCCATAATTTATGTGTCTGGCAACAGCTCAAGTTGGAGGGCACCCTGAGAGACCACCTGGCCCAAATATTAATGAAATATTATTATTAATATTATTCCTATTACTTTACTAAGAGCCTAGACTGTTATCCAAATGCATTTTACTGATGAATAAACCCAAATAAACTCGCTTTCATCCCTTGGCACAGGAGAGAATTCAACTTTTCTGAGAAGCATGCAAGAATTGCAAGGATCTGTCTTTTGCACCATTGCTTCAACTCAAAAATGTGAGTTTCCTTTAAGAAAACAGTATCCATACAACCCCAATCCTAAAATATACTTGAGTTATAAACATCTACAATCAAAAAAGTCATGTGATCCTAAAAAAATTGAGTTTTGAAACAATCAATATCATAAAACCTTAAGAGATGACCTTTCTCTGATATGAACACAAAGGAGAGTTTCCAAATCAAACTCTGTGTTTGTTTCAGATTTAGCACCCTAGAAGGCTACTGGCTAAACTGATGCATATACTATAAATAAAGGGTATTTAATAATTTAATACCCTTTATGAAATGCAGACTTCAAAATTAACAGGCAGGGTGTGATCTCAACCTGATATTTCATGCATAAAGTCTGCCTTGCTATACAAAAAAAAAGCAAGTTGAACTTCTCAAGTCCATTACTTTCCTAGTGCTCAGTTGCAATAGGAATGGAAAATAAATGTTCTGCCCACACTGTGTGGCAGCTGTCACTTTAGAGGGTGAACTTTAGCCCCCCACAGTAGCCAAAATTCTCTCTCTGTGTCTTTGCACTATCACAACAAATAATATTTTATTTTGCCAGAGAATAGACAAAATATTTGCCAATTTCTGATTCATTCCTAACTTTTTTTTAAAAGCTAATGGATAAAAGAATTAAACAACCAAAGCACTTGCAGCATTAAAGGATCTCAAAATTAAAACAAAGAAATAAAATAGATCATCAATTAATCTACCAGAAAGAGATCTGCAGCAAAGAAAGAATTTTTAAAAATCATGTAGTATATGTAGATTTTTAAAGAATATCAAAACAGGTACTTTTCTATCTCTTTCTAAAATATTAATGGCTTCCTTGAATTTAACCCATCTTATGTAAATAAGAACATGAAAGATAATGTAGAAACACTGTTTATAAAAGCAAGTTGCATTACCCTTCTGGCAATGTTTGTCACAATATTTAAGGAAGGAAATAAGATATTGCTTATTTTCCAATTTCTAGTCTTTTTTTGGATTTGTTGCTAAACACGACTTGATGTTGATAATGAGTTTAAACAACTCCTCCTTTACTCATTTTTTTTTTTTTTTGTTTACCACTTTAGTAATGGGTAAAGCAGGAGCTGGCAAGAAGGTATCCTGGTTACAACAAAGGCTTTGCTGATAGTTTCCAAGCACTTAACAAAGGTGAGGTTATCAAGGGGATGACAAATCGCCTTGTTATGGAAAAGGAGACTCCATTAGGCAAGACAGTCAAACCTATTTTATCTAAATTTATTGGTAAATCCAGTCTCTAGATAAATTTACTCTTTTTTTTTTTCAAATGCACGTACTTTCTTAAGGCAAGATTTACAAGTGTTACTGAAAAACCACAAGTTAATTGTTTTGGATTTTTTGATTACCAAACCTTCTTGTTTGGTAATTGCCCTGAAGGAGGAGACTGAAGGCAGAGATGGAAAATAAGGACCACCAGAGAGGATATCCCTGATTCCTGCTGGGCTCCAGCTCCAGCAGTGCAGCCACCAGGACACAGAATATCCTGGCAACAACCACTGCACAGCAGCTCCTGTCAACCACACATCCCTGTAAACCAGCACCAGCACACAATTGCCCTTCCCCAGCATAAAAGTGAGATGAGACAGGGAGGGTTTGTGCCTTCTTCTGCCACCAGACTCCCAGGCCCATTTACTGCTTCCTTCAGGAGCACTGGCTTCAGTTCATTTTTAGCATGGGGAAATGAACTCCCATCCACCTTGAGTGATTTTCCCCATGGTTTTTAATTCAAACCTGTTTCATCTAAATTTATTGGTAGATCTAGTCTCTAAATAAATTTATTCTTTCCTAAAAAGCCTGTACCTTCTTACGGTAAGATTTAGAATTATCGCTGAAAAAACACAACTTCATTATTTTGGTTCCTTTGATTATCAAATTGCCCTGAAGAAGGAGACTGAAAGCATGGATAGAAAATATGAAAGCAGAGATAGAAAATCAGCGTTGCCTGCAGTGCCCAGGGCCACCAGAGAGGATATTCCTGATTCCTGCTGGGCTCCAGCTCCAGCAGTGCAGCCACCAGGACACAGAATATCCTGGCAACAACCACTGCACAGCAGCTCCTGTCAACCACACATCCCTGTAAAGCTGGGCCCAGCACACAACTGCCCTTCCCCAGCATAAAAGTGAGATAAGACAGGGAGGGTCCGTGTCTTTTTCTGCCAGCAAACACCCAGGCCCATTCACTGCTTCCTTCAGGAGCACTGGCTTCAGTTCATTTTTAGCATGGGGAAATGAACTCCCATCCACCTTGAGTGCTCATCCAAGGGAACCCTGTGGTTTAATTCAGCCATCAGGTCCCAGGACTGCAGGAAGGACAGCAAACATGGCTGTTAAATGTTATACCTGCACTATACACACAGGTGCCAGTTTATAGGGTAACACTTTGCCCCTGCCCCTATCAAAAAACAGGTACACACACATGTGAAAATACAGGAAACAAAAGGAAGACTGATCCATCCAAATGATGTTGATAACCTCCAAAACTAATTTTTAATTGCAAAGAAAAGATCAGTTTTAATCTAATCAGGCAAAAAAAAAAAAAAAAATCACCTTTCTTTTCAAGTCCATAAAGAAACCAAGTGCTTGTGTGGATAGCCAGAGGGGGACATATATATAAATATACATGATTTCTCAAAAGGGCCAAGAGTTTCTGGCCTATATAAATTCCCTACATCTCTGATCCTGCAAGGGAAACGCTGAAATTATCTAAAAAAATACATTAGCTACAATTACAGAGACAGTTCACTCACTGAGGAACGGTGAAATAAAATTGATTTCTTTTTTGGATTTTATTTAATTCAGACATCATGACTAATGTGAATTAAAGAATCACAAATACAGGGATGAAAAGGACCCAGTTAGTCTGACAGATGTTTACCTAGCTTGTCATTAGAGATTTTCAGTGATGGAGATTCTACAATACTCCTGTCTGCAAGACAACCTCTTGTGCAAATCATTGGAAAAACATCTCCATATTTCCTGCCTCTATTTCTACCATATTTACTGCAGCCCATGATTGCAGAAGACAGAGCTGCATTCTCTGCATATCAGTTTTTAACTCTGCTTCCATTTTTCCAAGAACTTCCATTTTAAGCCTAATATCAGGGACTGTAATTTTGAAAAATCCTGTAATTTTGAAAAATTCCCACCTTGTCTTAACACTGACCTAGCACAACCTTTGCAAAATAGGGAATTCAAAACCTACTGTGTTTGTGGTCAGAAATTACAACAATCAAAGTTAGAAGACAAATGAGCCACTCTAAAGAAAGACTTACACAATTCTACATCCCTCACAGATTTCTAAGAGTTTGCTATTCCCAGTGTGGTCTCTGTTCCTCCCTGTCATACATTGTGTAGTTTTTAGACTGCATGACAATGTTTGGAATGGTGGCTGGCTGTTACTTTGGTACCTGCCTTTACTCCCAACACCACAATTCCTTCATTTCCTTGGGAGGAACTTCTTGAAGGAGACCCACATTGAGGTGGCAGAGAAAAGAAAAGGAGATAAGCCTTCCAAAGGCCACCTTTATCTGATCATCTTCCTCACCTCATCACTCTGTGCTCTCCCAATTTGCCAAGAAAATTACATTAATCCAATCTTTCTGTTAGATTTAAACAAACAAAAAAAAAAAGTAGAACTCACACAGTAAGAATGATGCACTCTTATCAGTCTAGCACACAAGCACAATACCACCATTAAACAAGGCTTATAAAATCAAATGCATAAAGTCCATTCCTTATGCTATACTGATGAGTTAATTTGATTTTAATGTAAAATGAACTAATACTTGACAGCCATATAGTTAGTGGATGAGTCACAACATTCTCATTAGCTAGAGAACAGAAAGGGAGTTAAATTGCTCAGTAACTGGAAGAACACTTGCAACCTGTCAGATATTTTTTGTCCATCCTCTATTGCTCTGCTACTAAAAATCAGAAATTATAACATTAAGATATAAACAAAATTCGTTCAAATACTTATATAGAAAGAAGTTCTCTGCTTTGACCTAAAATTGGGGTTTTTTACACTATCACAAGAATTTACTTCACAAAGCAGAGACATTTGATCATGCAACACAGAACAAATTAGAGAGAGACTTGGCTTTTGCTTTGCTACAGCTCTAAGAAAGGTGGCTCATACTGCACTTCTTTCATAAATCAGGTTTTATATGAGTGCACTGCAGTAGAAATCAATCCCAGTGAATCCCACACTGCCTCCAGGAGCTGGCCCTATACACTGGGATCTATAAAGCTAGGTATTATATGAATTATATAAATTACACTATTATATAAATTCAGGGACTGGGCTGGACAAAGAAAATGGTGGCCCAGCCTTGATGTTTGACTTGACTTGAAGTGTCTCCAAGAAAGACACAATGGATGTGTGTGTCTACAGGCTAAGAGGAGCCTTTGCTACTGTCACTCATTTTCTCTCAGTCTTCCTTAATTCCCTACTGACAGCCACAAACATAATGAGTTATTCATTCCGAGGAGAGCCTGAATAGGACATGTTTTGCAAGACGTAATTAGCGATTGTAATTTTATTCACAGCATATTGCGCTTTCCTTAGGTGAAGCTGTAGGATGTAAGAAGTAAAAGCACATCATCAACTAATCTGATCTAGCACTCTGAGCTATGTAGGTCAAGGATGGCCTGCCTCCCAAGCCCTGCAAACTGCAGAGATCCTTTTAGGGCCGATAGCCACCTGACAAGCCCATCTCTGAGCTGCTCAGGGAGGGTTCCAGCCAGACAGGAGCAGCTCTCCCAGTCCCCACGCCGGGCTGTCAGCAGGGCTGGGCTCACAACGGGCAGCCAGGCTGTCCTAGTAATGTCTGCCTTAATTGTCACTGCCAACCTGCTCCCTCCCCTGCCAGTTTGCAGCTTCCTCATCCTCTGCCTGGATTGGGATTGAAGGCACTTGAGAGGATAGCTCACACTCAGACTCAGGTGTTTATTACTTCTCATCTATGTCACAGCCTCACAGGCAGTGAGTTCTGCAGTTCTTCACTAACAAGGCACAAAATGGCTAACTATCTTTTGTTACAAGGCCTTTTAAGGCTAAACTGTCCAGTTAAGAAATGACACCTAAATTATTTTCACTTTTAACCCAATATCTAATCACTTGAAGTCCACAATGTGGACTTTCCTGACCAATTACACAAAACCACCCAAACCCACGGAGAAGAAGGTGAAGAAGAAGGACCAGCCTCCACCCTAAAACCTCCATCTTGCTTTTTATATATTACTATATTCTGAAACCTTAAACTCTAAATTTCCTACCCTGTGATATTACACATTCTATTCAAACTCCACACCACAATCCCAGTTCTGTCATTCCATTTTGGAAGCTTCTCCACAGCCCCAGGTCAATGCAGTGTTCTCCTGGGGGTCAGTGCCTGCCAGCACAGACACCCTGAAATTCTCAGCATCCAGAACTCCAACACTCCCCCATTTGGGAGCAGAGCTCTGAGCTGTCCCTGTGCCACCCATGGCCAAACTGCTCCTGACCCCCCTCCATCACCATAGCAAGTGCAGACCCAAAATCACTTATTTTAGACCCAATTTTCATTTCCTGCCAACATGCATGCAAAATCTAAACACAGAACAGAACCGTGGTGTCAAAACTTACCATGTTTTCATTTCAGGCTCGGAAGGCAACTCTTCATGGAGGTAAAACCTGTGCAGTTTCACAGACTGACACAGTTCTGGAGACATTTTTTTAGAAACATCATAATAATGGCCAAACTTTGTATATGTTGTTGGGCTGGTCTGTGGAAACAACAGTACTGATTACAATCTTAAACTATTATCTGTCAAAGGAATGTATTTAACTAACAATGCACTTCAAACCTCTGTTTTTTTCCCATTCAGCCTAAATAAATGCTTAAAGTAGAAAAACATTATAATAATTACTACTAAGTTTTCATTCCCCCATTGTCATACTTGAAGGTAAATCTTTCACACAGAGTTCAGCCTCTACTGTTCCAAGTTGCAGCACCAAAGTGAAGCCAGATAATTAAAATAATGCATTTTTTGCACATGTTCTAGACAGATGATCACAAATGTGCAGAGGCCAGATCTATGAAATCAGCAGAACACTGTGTGTTCAGCCTCTTTGATTTTTCAGTCTCTGACAATTACATGGGTGCTGCAGAAATATTTTCAGCTGACTTGGAAAATTTTTCTCTTTATTTATGATCAGTTAAAAAAACCCAACCATTGCATCTTCATAAAAGTGATTTTAATAGAAAACTAAGAAATAGTTGAAAATTATTTTCAGTTCCTTGAAAATCAAATATACAGGCTGAGCATTACATGCAATAACTATGATTTGCCATAATGAAGATACATTTACTTCAGATCTTAATTTTTTACATGAAACACCATAAACCAAATTTAATGCATACCTGTGCAGGAATTACACATTTTGAACATGGTGTGCTATTAAATAGAGGAAATAAATGCATCTGTTTGGTCCATATTAATATAATTCAGAACAGAACTTGCAACATTATTTGAATTAAACATGTAAATTTAACATCCCTAGAGACCCCTCCTCCAGACTGTTATACCATGAAATATTCAAGTAGATAGTATTTCACCAAAAAAGTATTAAACTGTTAAGATTAGTTAGAATGATTTGATTTAGGGTAAATATTTTGAAATTATTTGACTAACAGGTGTTAGGCCTGGTCAGTTATCAGAGAATATCAACAGTAACAATAATGCAATACTTCTCCCAGAATAACCAATGAAACCCAAGCTTTTAGTTAAAAGAAATAATTAGTTTAAAAAAAAAATCAAAACCCCATGGAATTGCTTATGAATATCTAGTCATTTGAGGCAACTAGTTTTACTAAAAAAATTATATAGAAAAGCACATTCTCTAAATCAGTGTACCAATTTATTTCTTGGTATCTGATTTTCAAAGCAGGCCATTCAATAAGACACAACATTCCATCAAAATTTAAATGTTTTTCTTGTAAAATGTAACTTTATTCAAAACAAGGATTCTGAAAGCAATTTAAACAGGGGCTGTTCTTTGGCCTATAATCTATTCTTTATCCGGATTACAGATCAGAATGTTTTTACTGCAATCTCTGCCAGAGCTCATCTTTTTATTGTGTACTTCCAAGCCCCCTTAATGTTTTAGAAAGGCCTTGACTAACTGAACTTTGATCTGATGTCTTCATTGAGAAAAGCTCCAGGTCGCCCATTTCAGATGCAAATCCTTCCTGAGGCCCAATAGAGTTTAGTAAAGACAGCAAAAAAGAAGAAACAAGAAGTTTCCAGGATCCTCTTTGAGAATCCTGAGGCACATTGGTGTCCTTAATCCACCCCGCCGCAGGGATTAAGGTAGGTGATAACCTCTCCCGCTTCCAAAGAATGAGCACAGCGCCCACAAACTGGGTGGAGCCTGGGATTTGGCGCTAATAAAACCCCATAAAAGCAATAAAAGCTGGGCCCATGGCAGAGGGCCCTGAATAGGGCTCAGTGTCCTGCATTCCCAGGCTTAGCAGGGAGCTGCTGGGAAGCCTACCTGACCCAAGGAAGCGTGAATAATGGACTGGGGCAGAGCGGCCGCGCGCGGCCCACACTCGCCAGCCCTCTCTGACACTGATACCTCGGGATTTGAGTTTTTCTCCTCTTGGTTTGGTTTTAGCTTTGTATTAAGTTAATTTATAGTTTATATTAAGTGTTACTAGGATCTTTTCACAGGATGGTAAGGAAAAAACAATCCCATTCCAGCTGGAGACTCAAGGACAATCTCCTCAAACTTCAGGCCCAAAGCTTAAACAGCGTGAGAAGAGGAGGGTGGGCAAGCAAGCAAGGAGGATGAAACTTCATCATTTGAAGCCATTAACTGGACAATTAACTCCAACATGCAAATGGATTAAAACATATAAAAATGTGAGATCTCATGACCGAGCCCTCTTTTGCTTCCATCTTGGAGGCATCTGGGCACTGCCAGGGCGCGGTCTTTGAAGGTACTTCCATAAATATCCACTTTATTCCTCTGAACTCCTTCTAGCTTCTGTCCCAGCTCCTCAAGAAGGCACCACTACATTCCTTAGCAGGCCAGCTCTTTCCTGGATTCCTGGTTTGCACAAGGAGAAATGCTCCAAATTGTCAGCGAGCAGAGCGTGCTTTTACGCTACCGTCTGCTGTTAATGTTTCTAATTGCAACCCTAATGTGCTAGAAATCTCAGATTTAGGATGAACCAAGGCAGAAAATTGATTTCATGCTGTGACAGTTTATATATTGCCCCAAGAACACAAGCAGTTCATTGAAAAAAAAAAAAAAAAAAAAGAGAAAAAAACCCCACACTGTCTTGCAGTGCTAAAGAGACTCTCCGTATACTCAAAAGTTGAAATTAATTCACTTCTGATACAGATATAACTAACAAACTGGCAAAAGCACATCAAGCACAACAAGGTCTTTCACTCCAACAGATTTCTTATAAATCTATTTTTTTCTGATGCAAGGTATGTGCAATATGTAGAGAGAAACTGGGACAGCTGTGAAGAGCACTAATACAAATACCATGCCTAAGAACAAAAAACCAGGTACCTGGCTGGTCTAAACAGGGTCAAATAAATACAAAGGGAACATCTGAACTACCAATCAAAAAATCTATTATTACTCAGAAACAGTAAACAAATCAATCATCAAAAATACCAGAAAGACATCTTTTACTCAGCATTCCTGCTCTGTATTTAACCAGATAATGGGTAGAAAAGTTTCTGCTATCATGCTTAGAGTTCTAGCTAAAAGCAAAGCTAATTTTTCTCTTTCACAGTTGAAACTATTTGACATGTAGTCATGAAAATGCACTGGCATATTAGTTCAATCAGTTTGGAAAATATGCCTTGAAATTTTATTCAACATTGGTTTTTACCAGCAAAGGAATATTTAAAGGAGGAATCACAACCAAAGTTGTTCATTAAATTATAGAACTGAATGTATTGTTAAGGGTAGCAAGGCAGTATCAGATTTTTCCTCAGTGGAGTATAATCACCAATTCAATTAACATAGAACGGAGCAAAAATTTTATGATAACTGCAATACAAAATATTGAAAAATATAAATTTAAACCATTTTTACACCAATTAAAATGTCCTGAGGAATTTTAAGTATAGACTGTTTAAGATTGATACTTTTATTTGTGTGCTTTAATTTTTGCATAAATTTAACATACACATAAAGATATTGTGCCTCAACTATTGAGAATGATCAAGGTCCAATTCAAAAAGCAGCAACAACAAGGGAAACTCCCCCAGAAAAACTGACAATCTTATTCTATCTTGCATAATCAATTTTCAGTAATCAAGGGTACATGCATCATGCATTTTCAAGAAATATTACATTAGTGGAAGAAGTGGTTACTGCTATGAACTTAAAGATGAGTGGACACCCAACTGAATTTTTAAAATAATTTTTCTATGTTGTTAGAACATCAGAACACAATTTGTTAACAACATGCAAACGTTTTCATATCAATGTACAAGATACTGTGCTAGATTTAAAACAGACAAATTATTTTGGTTCAAAGTGGCACAGCAAGCTTCACAATAATAAAATTGATGAGATTATATGATTACCCTGGAGGCTGTTTGATTTGGCATGTCACCATATATAAGTCTTTTCTGACACAACTGTATAGCCATGTCTGTGCAATTTCACAGAAAACCAAACATGCCAAGCCTTGTAAGATCATTTTGTCACATTCCAATTATGTTTTTAAGAACACAACTGAACTTACTAGGCAGGTATGACTACATCTAAACCAGAATTTATAAATGTAGACTAAAATATACAGACAAACCCAGGATTTGATTCTGGACAGCCAGAAATGCTGTAACTTTGTTAAAGACTGATTGTGCCGCTGGATTAAATAAGAAAGGCACCAGCCATGGGAGATTAATTATCCACAAAACAAAACACCAACAACTGTAAACTCTGAAAGACTGACCACTGAGCTTGTTCCTTACATTGTCCCTGGCCCGTGCTTAGCTCCCAGTGACAGTGAGGCTGAGAGAATCTCAAGTGTTTGCTGTAGTTGTTATGCACATGGATAAGCAGGTCAACAGCTTGCTTCCACTGCAGACACCCACTAAGTCTTGTTGATTAAACCTACTTAAGTAATTTGTGTGCAATTAAATTTGGGCCAAGGTTGGAAGCAAGCACATCACCCAAACTTTCATTAAAAGCTGTCTCGATTTGATAATGCTCATTGAAAAATCCCATGGAACCTAAATGGTTTTTTACTTATAAATTACTATTGTCTGTAATGATTTTTAGAGTACCTGCAAACTCTCAAATTCCCTTTCTTTTTGCATCGTTAGTAATTAAAATATTCACTGGTGTGTGATAGTTTTTCCTCAAGAGGCAATCCTGTAACACTGCCCATTAGCAGTTCTGTTGTCTAGGTTCTACTGAAAAGCATTTGCTTTTCAAATTCATTTTGAGTGCAAAAGGAAAGAAGCAGGAAATAGGCATTACCTCCATTTTTGGTAAATTTTGGTAGCGCCAGGCTATTTTCATAGAATCCTGAGAATCCTCAGACTTCACAGCTGCTGCTTCATCTCCCAATTCCTTCCTGTAGGAACCATCAAGCAAAGGGGCTGGAAGTTCCTACAGGTAGAGAGCAAAAAAAATGTCAGCTATCTGCAGGAGAAACAGCAATTCAGGTTTTTATCCACACCCCCCTCCAGCCAGATAACACAGTTACCTGACTGTAATGGGCAGCTGCAAAATCTGTAAAAGATTAATAGGTTAAAAGAACTCTTCTGAAGGACTGGCTCTTACTAATACTGAGCAGGAAAGAACTCCATGTAATTATTACCGGAAAAAATGAATTATAGAAGTAAAAGAAAGAAAGCAGAATGGAAATACCACATTTGATGCTCTGCTTCATCTTGAGTATTCCCATTCCCAGTGAGTATCACCTATATTCTTTTTTTGTAATCTTTTTTTAGAGGCTGATCTCCTAAACTACTCCATTTCTGACAGTGGGCAAGTTCCCTGCATATTTAAACCCATTTAAACCTTTTCCAATAGCAAATTTAAGCCTATTTTAACATAAGAACTTTGTTAGCTGCTGTAAATCTTCCAGAAGTCTCCAACAGATCACAACAGCCTACAGACAGCAGCTGAAAGCCACTGCAACAGGATGGTTTGAATTTTCTCTTCTGCTAACCACTAGGCAGGATATCTACTCATGATGGATATCTCAGGGACACAAACACAGGAAAGGAAGGGGGGAATGCTCAATTCTGGACTTTTAAAAGTTTCTAATGTACTTTCTGCCTTTGCTGCACTGCTGAATAATTCAGTGCTGAATTCAGAACTCATGCAATGGGCCTCTACAGCTACTGGAAAAATTAAGTGCAATGAAGTTTTCTGCCCCAGCTTTATCGCAGCCATTCCTGTGAGCTGGAGGGCAAAGAATCTCTGCTCAAAACAGAACAAGGCACAGCTGAAAACTCTGTTTTCCTTGAGCAAAGACTTCTGAGGAAGACATGCCTCAAAGGTTAAACCCACACAGAGCTAGCCAGGAGCTCTGTATTGTGTGTGGAGACCGTCAAAAAGCAAATTTGAAACCTTTAGAAGAAGAGTCTGGATTGAAGGGTGGGACAAACACCAAACACTGCACACAGGCAGCGGTGACCATATTATGGTGACTATAAATACCCAGGTGACACTTGTGGCTTTGAGTGGGTACACAGGGTACAAACTCAGAAAGGAGACAATGAAACTTTTAACACATCCATTTCGGGTTTAGTGTTACACTTCTCTACTATGCATAAAATTAACATTCATATATAACAACAAATTATTAGGAATTTTAACATTAATTACAATAATCTGTAATGATAATTTAATAAAAAATTTAATATGTATTAATTTTATTAAGAATATATTCTATATGAAGATTTATCTTACTTACATTTATTTTATTATTATTTATTATTCATTCACTTATATTTATTAATATTTAAAGATTAATACCATAATAATACTTTAATAATAAATAATGACTTAATATAACATAAAAAATTTTATTATTTTATATTTATTATATGATATATATTCTTATAATTGTAATAGATATTAGAATTATCATCACTGATATTATAATATAATAAATAATATTAATCGCTAATAATTATTCAAATTAAAAACTAATAATATGCATATTTCTATACATAACCTTACTAACAATACATGCTACTTTGTTTGTTTTGCATACATTAGCATCTATAATTACGTTAAAAAAAAGGAGATTTCAGATAATTGCTTCTGTCTCTTCTAGGGTTGGTCACCACACTATAATAGTTTTTATTATTTTATAATTATTATATAATATATATTCTTATTATAATTGTTATAAATATTCGAATTATCATAATTGATATCATAATATGATAAATAATAATATTAAGAGCTAATAATTATTCAAATTAAAAACTATTAATGTGCATATTTCTATACATAACCTTACTAACAATACGTGCTACTTTGTTAGTTTTGCATACATTAACATCTATAATTATGTTAAAAAAAAGGAGATTTCAGATAATTGCTTCTGTCTCTTCCTGGGGTTGGTCACCACACTTTCTGAGGCATCAGGCAATGGAAGTTATGAAAACTTTTATAAACTTTATAACTTAATAAACTTGCAGAAATAGAACAGCTGTATCTATGTGTTTCAGCAGCTCAGCAAAAGATACAAAACACACCTTTGAGCAAATTATTTTATTTCTTTTGCTTTTACAAATGAACTGCAAAAGCCTGGTAATGACTATTCATGAGAGCAATTATGTACAGAGCTATATTTTTTCGAGATTTATCACAGCTTGTTTAAAAAATACACTTGCATACAATAAACTCATTACTGTGGTAGTAAAATATAAGGCTTTCTGGGTAGGAAAACTAGACAAAGATGAAAATTTTGATTTAGTATTTACAGTTTTCAATAAGTTTACAGATTTATAACAGCCGCTTCAATAAAAAAAAAAATTACTTTAGTCAGAGTTCCATTACATCCACCCAGCAAGAAAGTAGGCAAGCTTTCAAATCAAAGAATTCTGACAAATGGGGCAAGATGAAAACAGAACACTGTACTGAAAGGTTCTGAGAAAGTACAAATACAAACTAGAGCTGACAAGCATCCAGATGCATTTCGCATACATGCAGATACAAACCACTTATATTTACTTCTAAGAGCATCAGATGAAGTATTTTTCTTAAAAAAAAAAAAGTTACTTTGAATTGTTAATTTTATAACTTAGCTATCCTCAACGGAGTTAATCAATCTTGTTTTCCCATTGAGATGTTACTTTGAAAACACATGCTGAACAGTTCAACTATTGTGCAGATTTAATTTCCTCATAAAATTATTCAAAGATTTAAACATATTTAGTAAATAGATTTCGAAATCTTGCTTAAACATTTCAAACTCCCTGAGCCTGCCCCTGGTTCAGACATCACATCACTGCAAAGCCAAAAGGCAGGAAATGGCAAATTGTACAATTCTCCTTGCTGCAGGTAAAGAGGAAAACAGCAGCAACATTTCTTACAGCTGTTTGATATTTTCCCCCCCTAGAATCACTGCAAATGCCTGTAAATTCTGCTGCTGGTTCATTGTTGTTAGGTAGTAATTGGGAAAGTCAAATTTGAGACAGGGACATCCACTACAAAAATTTGTCTGTTTTACACATAAAATGTATTTCATGCTGAAAAAAGAACAGAGGTCAAGACAATAAGGGTGAGAAGTTCTCCAAGCTGCTTAAATAATGTCGTGTAACACTGAGCAAAAGCTCCTGCCTTCCAGTGAGAGAGCAAAACCTCCTTCCACGATGGGAGACACCACAAATCCCAGCTGCTGACACCCAAAAAAGTCAGTCCAAAACAATCAGAGGCACACACACCACCCCTGCAACACAACTTGGCACTGTGGAGTGTCCCAACTGCTGCTAAAATTGAAGTAGATTAAGAGATCAAGGAAAAAAAATGGTTTCACCTGCAGCTGATAAAAGATTTTGGCTGCCAGAGATTAAAATGTATCGAAGTATCCATCTGAAACAGCCTTTTTATTTAGTTGTTCTTTGCCGATACAGCTTGCTTTTAATTTCTAACACAAGAAAGAGTTTTTATTTTGACATGATAAAAAACTTCTGACAATAGAAGAGCACAACTGAGGTCTGGTTTATTCTGTCTTGTCCCTTGGAAGGAAAAGGAGAAAAGACCAGGAGCACTCCAAGAACTCTCTCAGACCAAAATCAACTTTTTAAATGCCTTTACCTAACAACTACCATGCTTAGCTGAAGAATGATCCTTAGATGTGCCAGGTCCTTGTCCCTGTGCAAGGGACACAGGTTTAAGACATTTCTGGGCCTCCCACATCTCACAGCCATGCAATTTTCTATCTTTTCTTTGTTCTAAAGCAAAGACATCCTGAATTACACTCTTGGATGTTGGGGTTGTGAACTACATGGCCTCTGTACGCAATAAGCTGCAGCCTGGAGAAGGTGCTCTGCCTTTGGATAATTTGAAGACCAACCAGCTTTATTAACCTTTTATTACATTCCAAGATATACTTTGAATGGGTACAAAGAGAGGGAAAAAAATCCAATCCTATTCAAGGTCAGAGCCTGTCTGTAATTTCACCATATTCTATATAAGCAATAATAAGCAGAGCTAATAAAGAACGTTTACCTCCAGATTTACATCCTGATTTTATCACTGTGGATAAAGCAACCAGCTTCAGATACCCTCACCTCCATTTTCACCAAGATGGATGAGGAAAGAGAGGCAGAACATGCAGGAGCTGTTTGAAGGTATGTCTGTGTTCACTAGAGGCCAACATGCCTTCACCAGCCTGCCTGAAGACTCAAAAAAATACCTAGATGGTCACTGTTTTTCCTTAGGATGTACTGATTCATGCATCTCAGGCCTCAATTTAAAATTTTAGTTAGTTTACTACTTCTAGAATAGTCTTCCTTTAGTTTAACTTAGGGACAGAACCCATAAAGTTCACAAAGTTCTAGTTAAAAAGTTTTTTTTTAATTTTATTTCTTTGCATGTTCAATAAAAAGAAAAAAGTTATAAAAAAGGAAAATATTCTAAAAGCGTTATTCTAATTCATATTACTCTTTAATTGTTGTTAATAATTTTTTCTTTGTACCCTTTTAAAATTGTATACCTACTCCTAATTGTAAACCTTTCTCCTAATCCTACCTCACAACAAAAAGTACACTAATAATTAATCAACACTAAACCCACCACACTTCTTGATATAATTAGCCAAAAAAATCTCAAATTAACAAAATCTCAAATTAACAAACCCAAACAAATACAACAGGCAATACTGAAAACACTGAATGATGCACAAATTTCTTCTTTTCTTCATATCTGCTTTTATCCTTCACAAATAATTAGAATTGGAATGAAAGGCTTTCCCCCTCTTCTAACTCTGGTAATTAAATGCAATTCTTTCTCTCAAGAAAGGAACTGTTTCCAAAGCTGACCATGCCTGAGTGACACAGAGCACCTCAGTGTGAGAGTTGGCAGCCCAGCTCTCATTATACAGATATATCCTCAAAAATACATCTGTCGTTACACACACATAA